AATAAGTAAGCTCAACACTGAATGAGCCATTACTTTGTACTTTCCTTTGTAAAATGCAGATAAAAAATATCCCAGTTGCTTTATCTAATAAATCTAGGTTGCTTTTGACTTTGGTTAGTACAAGTCAACTGGGCAGTTTAATAGTTTTTTTTGTCGACATTTTTGTAGTTTTCTGTTAATAAATGAGTTTATTTCAATTATGTATTTATTTGGTTGAATGTTAAATAGGCCCTCGTATTCTAAACATGAATTAAACTAAGTTTTAAATATGTAAGAAATTGTATTAGTTGTCAATAAGCTAGGGCTGCTTGGTTTTAATAATTTTTAAAATCTGTGTATTTTTCTGCCATCCTATTAAACTCCATTTATATGCATTCCTTGGTTTTGTAAACCCTCCTGGATTCCTATTTCTATTCAATTGGGAGAAAAATGATAAATAAACGCAAATACCACAACCAAGAACAAAGATTATACTGTACCACTTAAACAAGAACTGTACCTATAAATTACAAGCGGGTTGAATTTAAAATTCACTTTGTAATGTAAACGGTGTTCTGTGTACTTTTAATTAAGGAGGAAAAGTGAACCAATTTATCTCTGTCCAGCACAGTAATCTCAACAAATGGTTAATGACATGTTTTGTCATCCTTTTCACTAATTTGCCCTCCCTGTATCAGCTTCAGATTATAAGAACATCTCCATTAATTGTCAAAAGTGATTGTTCTTCTGTTGATCCATGGATTATGTCACTTTTTGTCTATATTGTGTCAAGCTTCCAGTGGCATTGATATTTTTTGTAGTATTTTGCCACTTTATGTCTAAAAAATTATTTATTTGTTACCCCGTTATTTGTCATACAAATAAAACAATTCTTAAATACTCTTTCAGTATAATTAATAGTAATAGTTTTAAGTTTTGAAATAAAAAGCCCCTCCCACGTTTTAATATATAAGATTGTTGTACATTGATGATAAACAAAACATAAACAATAATTTATAAATGATGTAGCATTTATTATTTAATTCATTACTTAATTCCTGGGTCCTTCGGAGGACATCAGGCCACAGCTCCCCTAACATTTTAAAAATCATTAAGGAAGCTATTTTTAAATTTTTTATGAAATCATTATCTAAAACTCATCAGTAAAGCGACAAATTCTTCTAATTGATAGTGCCCAAGCTTCTAGAAAAGCAATGTTAGATATTTTCTATCTTTTTATTGTTTCGTTCTAAAATTAAACTTTAATCAACTCTATTTAACTAGTCAAGCACTAAAATACCAGACTTTTTTAAATCTGTTTAATGAGTTATTCAATACATCTTGTTCTAATCTAAATCTGTCTTCTGCAAAGTCTTGTCCATTTTGTCTAATCATGTCTAAACGCTTTTATACTTAGCAAAACTAAAATCCTTTAATATATTTTTTACTATTATCTACTGTAGCAAGAATCAATTAAAAATTACCAAAATTTACATCATTCTTATAAGATAAACTTACACTACTAAAATTACAAGTAATCATAGTAATATTCTACAAGAAAAGTAAATTTACTTCTTTGAAAGTCTTACAGTCGGTGAGTTCTGAAAATACAGACGTAGATACAATTGTGTCAAGAAACAAGCCTTGGAAACATGTTTCCACATTTTTCCAGTTCAGGATCAAAGAGTCTTTTCTTCATGACTTCTCATAAACTTGTGAACGTTTTTCTTCTGCTCAAACTACAAAATCTTACCACCATTGATTTAAAAAATTTAAATCATCTTTAGACATTTTTTGTTATTACCTGTATTTTGTCATAAATGAAATAGTGTGTCAAAATTGTAATTTAACATTATAAATTACACAATAGGATATATAAGATTTTGTTTATGTATGTAATGTTTACAGTTTTGTGCGATTCTCTCATGTAAAATTTAGCTGATTATTAAGTTGAATAAAACCATATAAATTTGGTTTCCAAACATTTCTTTACATAACAGTAGCCTAGAAAATATACCGTAGATTATTGGTCTTAATGTTTGAGTTTGAGTTTTAATCCAAATATGTTCTTTTGTCTCACAATTTAAAAGTTTATTAGAGTGGAGTCTGTATGTTTGAAGCTATACATAGCCATAGATTAATCCAATGATTTGATTAACATGAAATGGAGATTTATTTATGTGGATTAAATAAAAGTTAACATATTTGATACTTATTTATAATGGGATGACACTATGAAATCTATAAAATGATAGAAAAAACTGAATTTCTTAAAGACATTTGTGCAAATTTGTATTTTATTTTCATTAGATTATAGACATTTAAATAACTATGTAATGTAAAACTCTTGAGTCTTAGAAGTAGTTTCAAAAAAATATTTTATGAAGTACGTAGTTGTCGAAATAAACTATATGTCGATAAAAATATCTCAACTAATAAAATTGTTGGTATTTTCCCCTCAAGAAGTGTTGCCTGTATAAAGTACCATTTAATGCCCATAACGGCATAGACTAAATCTTGTTCTATTTAGGAGGTAAAAAGTACAGATCAGTTTCTTACACTGCTTATAACAATTTTTCATAGGGTAACACAGTTTTTTCAAAATATTTTATTCGGAAAAAAACATTTATCCTATGATATATTTGTGCTTAACAACAAAAAAGATAGTTTAGGAGAATATTTAATTTGAAATAATTTAAGAAAATCATTAATTTTAAAGCTTATCTGAACTATAATAATCGTTAGAAGTTACAACAACCCCCTGTAAAACAATTAATCTGATGGAATTATCATCTCACCCTGATGAGGGCTGCTTCGCTGAATGCAGTTTTTAATTCCCATTCCACTTTCATCCATTTACTTTTCATCCCTGGAGCTTTGGTATGTTTGTTTTTACATTTGATGCATGAAATAGTTATTTGTGTAACTAGTGGTGAAAGTGGCACTTTGCTGCACACGAGAGCAATGTTTACGCACGAGCCGCAGGCGAGTGTGGAATGGTCTCGAGTGCAGCAAAGGCCTTTTTCACTCGTGTTACACATTATATTTTTCCTACAGTCACTATAAAGCATATAAATAATTAGTCTTTCAAACACTATGCAACACGTTTTTAGGTTCAGCTGGCAACACAAATGGTGCCCTAGAGAAAGTAGTACTCGCGGTCCATATCACTCCGCTATTTTTCCTCGGCAAGAAATGTGCTCCGCGTTTTGAGAATATAGTTCCGTATGTTTTTGTAATTTGAAGTGGTTTCCGCGCCTAAAAAAATGCTTTAAAGGTATTTTCTTGTTTATTAAGATCGTAGGAATGTTTTAAAAACGTTCAAAAGAAAAGTCCAGAAAGTTCAGTAATACCGAAACTATAAACACGAAATGACAGGTTAAATCGTAGTTATAATAGTCAATCAGCTGCTCATAGTATTATTATCTTTAAGTGTTGCCAACCTATTTCCAAGCGTACACGGATTACGTGCATAATAGAACCACGCTGTTTTGTGTCGTTTCGTTGGAATCCTGATGTGCGGCAAAGTATAAACCGTACGACAAAGTATAAACCGTACGGCAAAGTATAAATATGCAGCAATTAGCAGCTTTCTGTACTATAAACAGTACAAGGAAGCCAACTTTGTCGGGTGACTGTAGGAAAACAAATTTGCGCATGAAATGCCAGTTTTATTAATTTTTTATTGTCCATTAATTACTTCTAATGTGTTATGACTTATTTTATGTTTAAAATTTTTTGTGACTATTGTTATCTTCACTATTTAAGGTCTACAATGTACTTTATGACGGTTTTTAGGTAGAAAATTGATTAAATGTACTGTTTGATTTAATTATTTAAAAACTACTGCTTTAAAAGAAAGCACAATAGTCAACGGAAATATAATCTATATATTAATAGGCAAGCATGTTTCTTTAAAACGTTTTTTTCTCAGCTCGTGTGCATCACAGGGAAATCTACGCATATTGTTAGAAAGATACTTTCCTGTAGATGTGCAGGATCCTTTAATAAATTCAAATAGGCTCGAAAATAATCCAAAAAACAAATTTTGAATTAAAAAAAAGTTTAACATAGGCTTTATGGTTTGCCATGCTGGTGAAGAAATAACAACTAAAATTTAGTTAATATTTAATATTAACAGAAAATCAAAACAAATGGAAAAAAATCCAATCAATTGTTTTATTTACAGTGTGCTGTGAAAACAGGGAGGTCTGTTAGTACATTACATTTGGTTGAGTTTTCGACCACTGTACGACCACTAGTTCAAATAAAACAACTGATTTATATACACATATTTGAACTTGGATATTTATAACACAGTTAAAAAGGAAACTTTTTATAACATAATTATAACATAACCTTAAAACTATTAAACACGGTGACATAAGTACTTCTCTAGGAAGCTCAGAAGTACATAATGCAGTATTAGTATTTAATAACTAGATAGAGGTAAAGAGGTTTTAGCAATCATTAAAACTTTAAAAGTCACAGGTTCAGGGCAAAAAATAGATACCGTAATAAGTTGTTATTAATAAATTATGTGTTTCAAAGACAGTATTATTACCGTATAAGATTTGGTATATCAGAATCAGCATCGTTTATTGCCATAATAATACTAAAATGTACAGGGCAATTGTCACTAAAACTAAACAAGTGATCACTAAAACTACACAACATTTGATAGCTTGGTGTAATGTAGTTTTAATACAATATTTATGAACTTGATTTTTTACACCACTGTATTTGAAAATTTGTTTTGTACTTTTTTAAACCTACTACCGGGTAGTATTCATTCTTCATAATAGAATAATTGTGTGGAATCACAATATTTGCCAAATACTTAAAAAAACTGGTAATATTTTCACAAACTAGTCAATAATCAGGAGTGTTATAGTTTGTATGATGGAACTTGTCTCATGACCCTAGGTACCTGGGACTGGCCTGGACTGGTTCCATCATACAGACTATATTCAGTAATTCACGTCTTTTATAGGCTGTGTTCTAATCTTGTGTTTTTGCAGGAGTTGAAGGAGAGTTTCAACTATGGCCTGTTCTGCCCACCAGTCAATGGCAAAGCAGGAAAATTCCTGGATGAGGAAAGACGACTCGGTGATTATCCGTTTAACGGTCCCGTCGGATATCTGGAGGTAAGTCGGCCGAGGAATCGTGAAAAGCATAAAATTTCTTTGTAACTTTGATACAAATTATAATGTAAAAAATTCCATCATTTTAAATTTAAGGAATATTTTTACCTTTGCTAGCTACAAAGGGTTTGCATCAAGTGTATTTTTTGGGGTTGTAGGGTAACTAAGGGGTTTAATTTTTTATTTAATAGGTAATTAATGGAAAGGGAGCTCTGCTTTAAGCAGATTTTAAAAAGCTTAACAAAGCTTAATTCAAATTCAAATGTAATGCTCAAATCATAAGCTTTTGAGCCCTTATACTGGCCAAATATTAAAATTGTAGAGATAAGTATTCTTTGAAAGAGAAAATGTTTTGTACGGATTTATGTAGATTGTGTTGAGATGGTAGTGCTTTGATGTCTTATTGAATTATTACATTAAAAAAAATCTGTTTATCAAAACCTGTTGAGAAGCAGCACTGTTTCCTGTCAACTCCACTTCCACAAATCAGCTGATGTGCCAGTTTACACTGTGTACCAGATATAATTTCCATTACGCGTTAGTGTTGCAAGTACAATCTCAGTTGTTGGCTACTGGTGTTGTTTGCCTTCAGTTTTATGACTCAATGTAGGAGGCCGAAGGCTGGAACTTGTGTTTCCTGTTAACATAGATCATTTAAACACCTGTTGATGACGTTTACAACGCTAATCAATACACAGCATGAAAAATCCAGTGGTTTTTTGGAAGAAAAATATATTAAATTATTTTTTACAAGTACTACCATTGACTTTCAGATAGAGAAGTATACATCTCATTATGGACCAGCTGTCAAAAATTCTTTATTTAAAAAGAATATGGTTGAGTAAGCCAGTCACAGAGTGTACGCGTTTAAAATTATATTTCCTACTTTATTTTTTGTTACATCTGGTCCATATAAATGGGATATCTACTTCAGTATCTTCCTAAAATCAATGGCTAACAACAATTTTAAATTAGAATTCCACAGAAACACTAAGACCAAACTTGATATCGAGTGTCTGTTTCAGTTGAAGGCCAAGAGGAGAGTGTACAAGATGGTCAACCTGGATGAGAAGCAGTTGAAGGCTCTCCACACGAGAACCAACCTACGCAGGTTCCTGGAGTACGTCACCAACGCTCAGGTGGAGAAGATAAACAAGATGTGTTCCAAGGGTCTGGACCCGAACTTTCACTGCCCCGAGACCGGAGGTAATGTTAACTCAGTGTTTGTTCTTGATATTACTTGTGTCGATTAGGATGAGGGAAATGCTTCCAAACAATGTTAGTTACACCCCTATATTGGTATGAAATTAATCCAATGGCAATTAATTAAAAAAAGTTACTTGATGTCAGTGAAACGATCACGATGTAGTATAATATAGAAGTGAAGTACGGAGGAAACATGCTCATGGAATGACCGTGCACTTTCAGCTCTGGTATGTTGTGCCGGAAATATACTTGTGATAAGCAAGGAAAGGCCCGAACAACGAGCTTGGTGTGGAAATTCCTATCACACAGGGCACAAGGTCTTCCTCCACCTTGAGGGTAAGGGGGGCAGTGTGGAACTTTACCCTAGACACCAGCACTAGTACTAAAACACCACTTAAGTGTACCATCGAATGTTTCCTCTGTACCTTAGTTCTTTGTAAGTATAGTTAACTACAACTTTTGCACTGTCAAAACTGGAGCTCTGCTTCAGGTTCAAATGACATGCTAATAATCGCTCATTGTGGATTGCCAGGAGACTAAAAAATATATATATAAATACATATACACACAAGACTAGACATTTGACAAACTGATCGACTAGACACTGATTTTGAACGAGACATGACACTGGTGGAAGTCTAGTCATAAAGAAATAAGTTACAGAGATAACATTCAATGAGTAACTTATGTGGTGTCTAGGGCAAAGTCCAACACCGCCCCCCTTCCCCACATGTACTACAACACTCACAGTGGAAGAAGACACTGTTCCCTGTGTGATAGGAATTTCCGCACAGTGATCGCTGCTCGAGGTCTTCCTTGCTCCTTACCATTATATCTCCGGCACAACATACTAGAGCTGAAAACTCACAGTTCTCTTATAAGCGAGTTTCCTCTGTACCTTACTTCTCTGTGGTCTAGACTCGTATAAAGCATACTTACTTCTACTTGAGAAGAGCAAACTCCAGTATCATACAAAAAGCACAATGTAGGTATCTATTACTCTAATCTATCTTTCAATATAATATTTATCAAACCACAACCTATTCAGTGGTCCACACTACTAAAGTGTTATATTTAAATTTGTTGAAAGGGTTATAAATATTCAGAGGTAGTTATTAAATCAGAAACATAACAAGTGAAGAATTAGTGTTCAACATTAGTCAGGTCTGATTTATTACCCAAACATACCTCATTAAAATCACTTTTGCTGCTCATTAAATAATTTTGTAATATACAAACCGGTTCTGGCTGAGATGAATGGCCGATTATTAGCACTAGAAGGACACTCATTATGTGGTACTTGGCGCAAAACAATGGTAATTGTGGCGACTTGAAAGGAATGTTATACTACTTGCCTATCTATAGATCATACAGCTCATTACAAGAAAATACATAATTGAATTTAATCTCCATTTAGGAAATGATTATCTTAGTAGCCTTTTTATGTGATTATTATGCGACAAAATTTCCACGCTGATAAGTTTTTTAATTAACATAATTGGAAAAAATCAGAGACTGTAACTTAAAGCTTTGGTAAGAAAAATCATTTTTTATATTGATGATTATGATGAAAAACAAATAATAAATGTTAGTGAAACAAAGTTTGCTACATTTGAAACCTAACCTCATGACAATGATTCTTTCTTAAGTCAAATTAAAAAATTCAGACGTTTAAAAAAACTTGTTGCTGCACAAGAGATATTATTGAGACTCTCATAAAATAGGGGTGTATAAGCAATTTTTGAAATTTTACAGGAATGACAAAAAATGTTTTGATGGTTTAAATTTGATTGAAATGAAGATTGTGAACACATTTTGTACTGCAAATGCACTGTGCTTCACATTGTGGTGGAAATTGTTTTCAGGTAAAAGTTATCTTTAAACCAATCAATGATTTATTGTTTTAATCCATATTCGGTCAATGCAATGCAGTGAGTGTTGCGTCATTGAGTCATCCAAGCTCCAAAATTTTATCAATATTAGTTGAATTAAAGATACAGTATTTTAAGAAACCAACAAATTAAAAGAACACACAAGATTTGGGAATGGCCAAGCTTGTTGAGACTTTGTCCATTACTGTAGTATAGGTGAGATATCATGGAAGTTTTTTTATTGAAAACTAACTGTACATACTACTTATTTTTTATTACACCAAAAACTCCATAAATTAATTAACTAATGTCAAACAATGTAGTACAATTTCCCATGGGCGCCCTCAGGATTTGAAACAGGAGGGTGCTGGGGGTCCAGGGCCTTCCCCGGAAAAACTTAGGAAAATCTATATTACTTATTTAATACGCAAGCAGGATATTTGTGACAATTACTCCTCCGAAACTACTGAACCGATTGACATGTTTTTGGTCTCATTAGAAAGAGCGTAACGTGAAGTTGTGCAGGAAACATTCTTTTTAGGTAAATATACAGTGAAAAAGACCCTGGGGCCCTTTAAAGTTTCATATTTCTCCATAAGATTAACAAGGTAAACAAACATTGTAATAAAAACTCCAGCTGTTGTCAGAAATTAAAAGTGAGAAGAACTATGTTAATTTTAAAAATTCAATAAGTTTGCTAATTTAACTGGACACATTGTCTTATGGTTGAAAAAAATATAATTTACTATTTGAATTTGGGTTGGTGTTTAAATATTACAATGGGAAAAAAGCGACGTGGTAGGTGTATTTTAGTAATATTGCCTGTATAGATAGATATACTAAAAAGAAAACTGAATTAACACTGTGCTGAATTTCTTAGTAATCCACTCATTGAAAGAGCCGATTGGCAAACTTAAGGAAACATAGGAAAGTCATAGAACACCACCAAGGAGAAGAAATAGAAATAATGTTTTTTTTTTTCGTTATTATGGACAACCTAATGCGGCTATGAGTAAGGCCATTAGTAGAAAGCACAAAAAAACAAGATCAGCTTTTGAACAATGATAAGATATTTACATGAAATGTTGATTATATTGATCTGTTATGTACATCTTGAGTATCTCCATAACCTTTGAGTCGAATCTTTTAAAGTCATCAGAAATTATGACTGTTATTCGTTTTCAAATAACGCCTACTTAGCAATTGCTCGAATTCGAGCAACAGGGACACTAGTATAATATTTAAAACATATTTTTACGCTATTTGGTAATACATTGAACCAACCAAAACAAAATAGTGTATTGTGCATCAAGGAGGGTAAATCATTGTTTTTTTATGCACAAATTAAAAAATTAATAAGCTTTTTTGAAGTTATTATGTAAAATTTATATAGTTAATTCCACAAGCAAAACAATAAAAAAAAAATTACAGTTGAATAAAGCCTAGATAACAGCCAAGAAAGTTAAAAGTTTTGTTTTCTGGATAGTTTTGTTTTAGTATAAAAGAATAGTACTTCTGTGACCAACTACTTTGTAATCAAATACTTATTTGATTTAAACATAAATTTAATTATTTTTTTTTTAATGACCATTATGAACATACTTTTGTACATTTCTTAAACCCACTTTTGATTAATAAAAATGATTACAGAACATTTTGGGTATTAAATTTATTTCTTATTTTTTTAGCCAGGGGGTGCAAGCGCACCCCCTTGCACACCCCCGGTGGGCGCCCATGCGAATTTCCTAATGCCTTCTCCATAGAAATAAACACCAGCTGTGCCTGTTCATACAGAGACTCCCCTGACGATGGCGACGGGCGTTCGCAAGCCGACTAACGTGCTGAAGGCGTTGGTGAACGGAGGTGCTCTTCTGGACTTTCGCAGCAAGGATGGATCAACCGCAGTCCATCGTGCTGTCGAACACAACAGCCTGGAGGCGGTATGTTTACTCAATTCTACATACACCGTTCACATTGGTCTTATGGGAGACAGTGCTATTAAAATTACTGAAAACGTCATGTTAATTGAAGGCATCAATGAATAACTTGTTTTTGTAACCTAACACCATTTAGGACGGCTAATGACGCTAAAACTAACGTTTGAAATAGAAATTTGAAATAGATGCAGTATAGTTGAGGGGTGAAAGAGTAGAGAAATAGTTCGGTAGCAAACAACCTAGTTTGAAAAAAAAAAAATAAAATTGGATGATTATAAAAAGAAACCAGCATTATTTCTTGTAAAAGGTTTGCTGAGCTTTCATGCGAGTACCATTATAGTAGATTTTTTATTGTTGTTTTTATAGTTTTGTATAGTTGAAATAGATTTATCACAAGAATTGTTTTGAACACCACACTACCAGCAACAAATATACAGTGCGAGTAAAACACACACAACTCTAAATACAACCACAACAATGTGTACCTTCGTTAAGAGCCTACTGAAGAAACTCATATCGCACCTTTTTGAACCATTAAGTACCATGTGCAAGTGATCAGTAAATTTTCCACATCCCAGCTGACTTTACCAGCTTCTCTCTGTAAAAACAGTTTTCTGTCTCCATAAAGTACAGAAACAATGTACATACTTCTTCATGTCTATTGTGGTAAAAAGTATTTTACCAATGACAATTTTTTATAAGCCTTTTTAATTTATTTTTTTAAATCAAAAAGATTCACTTTACAGCACTAGTAAAGGCCAGTGGAGTTCAAGGATTGAGGGCAAAGAAGTAAAATTGTAATGCTTAAAACGCCATCTTAACAGTTGGTAACGGACAAATCCAATTTTTGATCCGCCAACTTTTGCCGGAAACACACATATTCTCTCCTAAAGTGAAATAAATGATTTTCAACCAAACGCTGGAGAAAGGTTTATTGAAAGATTTAGAAAATGTCAGATAGTTCTTAAACAAAACTGTCTTGGGTAAAGTGTAATCAACTTGTATAAGCTTTTTCAATTCAATTCAAAACATCTTTATTCATTAGTATATATTGTATATACAAGAATGGTGCCAAATTCATCGTTACATAAAATATAAACACAAATAAAAGACAAATACAATACACAAGAACAAAACAATACAGTCATCTCTCAAGTAGGTATAAAACAAAAGTATACTTCAGTGAAAACAAAAAACAAAAATATAGTTCAGTGAAACAGCAATAGGACTAAAACATTTTAAGTCAATGCTGTTATTGCTTAGCCCAGAAATCTTTGAATTTATAGAGAGCATTTTGTGTCAAATGTAATTTTAGAGCGTTTTTAAATCTGTTGTCATCTGTTTCATTTTTTATTTTTATTGGTAATTGATTAAAAAATTTTATTCCAATGTATGATGGTTTTTGTTTAAATATTTATTTTTTATGCTTATTAATTTGGAAATTATATCGGTTTCTTGTGTTGTAATTATGATTATCGACGTTTCTAGTAAATGTTGAAATATTACGTTTAACATGAAGAACAATTTGGAAATATAAAGGGTATAAACTGTCATGATACCCAATCCAATAAAATGTTTTTACAGTGTGCATCAAAATCCAATTTAAGCATTGATCTTATTGCATCTTTTTGAAGATGTAAAATTTTTTTGAGGTTAAAATTTGATGTTGTTCCATATACTTCAACAAAGGCTTGTGCCTTGAATTTCTACTTGTGTCGTAAAGACTATCTTTACACATTGCGTAAACTGCTATTGTGTTTCTTGTGCCGGAGAACACTGTTCTCCATTCTGGTAAGTCTGCTTACTTACTTACTTACTGCTGGGGCGCTACAAATCGCAGTCGATTCTTTGCCTCGTAGATCAGCCTCTTCCACGCTTCTCTGTCCGCTGCCATCTCCACTGTCCCTCCACACTGACTCACATCTCTCTTAACTTGGTCATACCATCTCATTTTTGGTCTACCCAGTGGACGCTTTCCAGTTGGTACAGCAGAACATACTTCCTTCAGTCTTGTTCCTTCTTCCCTTCGCAATACATGACCTAGCCAACCTAATCTTTTTGCCTTTATCAAAGCTATTATATCAGGGTCCTGGTATAACGCTCGTAGCTCTTTGTTTTTTCTAATCCGCCATTCTCCTTCTTCGTTTACTGGGCCAAATATTTTTCTTAGGACCTTGTTTTCAAAAACAATCAAGCGTCCTTCATTTCTCTTGGATATGACCCAGGTCTCGCTTCCATACAATAATACTGGTTGAATAATGGTTTTATATATTCTTATTTTTGTATCAGATGATAGGAGTTTTGATGACAGGAGCTTCATACATGCACCTAAACATTTATTGGCATTTGCTAATTTACTTAATATTTCTGTATCTTCTATGTTAAAGCTATTTACAGTAACTACTAAGTATTTAAAGCTTTCTACTGGTTCAATTAAGTAGTTGGCTATATTGAAATTGGTTCCTCTATTGATGGGATGTCGTCCAAACTTTATTATTTTGGTTTTTTCCTCATTTAGTTCCAAGTCTGCTATCCTAACAAAAATCATTTTAACCAAGTTACTTGTGGACTATCTGGCTCAAGTCTGATATGTTGTTTAGGTGACGACCCTATTGGAGTTAGGGGCTAGTCCGAACTACAGGGACTGCAAGGGTCTGACGCCATTGTATGTAGCTATCACTCATAGTGTGGACCCACTACTATGCGAGACTCTACTGCATAACAGAGCAGTCATCGGGGCCCAGGACCTACAGGGCTGGCAGGAGGTCCACCAGGTATATCCGTACAGAACTAGACATTCCATGCACATGCCAAAGAGTTAGCCAGAGTGAGAATATAAATTGTAGTTGAATTTAGTCACTGCACAGAGAAGTAAAATATAGAGGAAACATTCAATGGTACACTTAAGTCGTGTCTAGCAAAAGTCACTTAAGTCGTGTCTAGCAAAAGTCACTTAAGTCGTGTCTAGCAAAAGTCACTTTTGTCTAGTGCAAAAAGTGTCTATTCCATTGGTCGTCCTCTCCCGCTCTCCCCCCTCACCATCACGTACGTAATTTCCCTATATGGGAAATTCGCTAAAAGGAACAACATAGAGTAATGAGCAATTACAATATACCACACTTATAACAGTCAGTGACTACGAAAATTTCTACTTTTACTTTTGTGATGTTTTATGTGTCTCTATGGACTTGTTTAAAGGTAAGTCTGCTTTCCTGTCAATTTCCTTAATAATTCCTGGCAAATGCCCTATTTTTTTATCAGATTCTTCATTAGGTTTGATTATTAGCATCCTCCTTATTAGAATCATTAATAGTCAAAGTTAAAATCCGACTTTCTAATATCCCTCTGAACTTTGACCCACCATCTTGTTTTAGGCCTTCTAGCTAGTATTCTACCTTCAGGGACATTTTGTAATATGTAAAAAGTTATGAACAAACATTTTTTCTTACAGCCCAGATTATTTTTACTCTATAATTAGGGGAGTGAGCTGGTCCAGTGGTTGAGTGCAGGGCTTCTGTCCTCGTGGTCTTGGGTTTAAATCCCGTGAATCACTAATGGATTTAATCTGAATGATAATGGTGCAACCTTTAGGAATAGCAAAAAGAAATTTAAAAAACAATACCATGCTAGAGCCTGGTTAAAATAAAATGAAACTTTATATAATTATTCTTTATTCTTGTCCAGGCGTGCAGGAACGGATTAGTGCAGCATCTAGAACACCTGTTGTACTACGGAGCTGACATGAACGCTAGGAACGCATCCGGAAACACTCCGCTGCACGTGTGCGCAGTCAACGGCCAGGAGTCTTGCGCTCGAGTGCTGTTGTTCCGAGGCTGTCAGCACGACGCGCTCAACTACGCAAACCAAACACCGTACCAGGTCGCCGTCATTGCAGGCAATCTCGACCTGGCCGACGTAATACAAGCGCATAGGCCTGAGAATGTCGGTGAGTGAACCTATCAGCTGTTTTGTCCTCTGTGCTTTCTGGTAGTTGTCAAACTGTTTTTAGACACTTGTAGTATTATTGCGTAGTTTTTACTGTATATCCATAAATTATGCCTATAAATTTTAGTAAGTCAAACTTTTGAATGGACAAGTGTATATCTGTAATTTTAAGTCCCAATCCAATTCGTGAAACAAAAGAATCAATTTTGTTTGCAAACTTTTTAAGTTAATAATTTGTTGTTTAATTTAGCATTTAATCAAATTTAGTTCTTTTGTTGTTGAGTGAGGAAGAAATAATAATAATCAAGTAATCAAATAATTCTACATTTCCGAATTTTATTTAGCTCAGCAAAGTTTTATGGACACCCCTGATTATATTTCTTGTTTCTTGTTGCCTACAACAATGCTATAACAACCAAAGTAATATTTTTTCAACAAAAATACAACGTTTTTTAAACTTGGTTTACCTTTTGTACATTAAAAAAAATTCATCTACATTTTATAATCAATGCAGGAATGATAATCAAAGATATAAAATCGTTCTTGAAGCATATTTCAAAATCTGTCCTCTATATTTGAAACTTGTTTTAACGTTTATCTCTTTGTCTCATTGTTTACACGCTTGATATGTAAATGTTATGTGTTACTTATGCATGAAAGCTTGTGAAAAAATATTTGCTTTGCTAAAATATGCATGTGTGGAAATGTGAATCCAAAATTAAGGAAGGGAGATGGTGTGTAGAAAAAAGAATATCTTCAGACATTTTTTTACCGCTCATAATCACTCTGATTTTTAATGTAAATATATTCAGGGATCCATTCAGTGAGGTTTAATAAAACTATCATTGATCCCCTTATCTCTTGTAAATCTCCTAAATCAAACATAACTAATGTCATTGAATCATACTAGAATCTTTTGAAGAGTTTGAACAATAGAATAAAAAGTATTTAAGAAACATGTCACAAAAAAGCCTTGTGAACAGTTTCTATAATAAAGTCTTCTTGTATTGTCTTGCTAGACTCCTAGGCTTTTATTTCTTCAAGCACTAACAGCTGATATATCGGATGTCATATAAAAGCCAGCTAAACTGGTATCGGACGATCCGGCACTTTCATTAACCTGGCATCTAAAGGTCTGTTCGTAATTTTGTATGCTGTTTTAAGTCATTTTACGCAATCAGCAGATGTTTGGATTGGAGTGATTGTTCAGTTGTTGGTTGGACTCTTTATTTCCCTAGTCTTGCAATAATTGCAGGTTTTAGAAGACATCCAATAATCTGGAACTTTCAATGTTCCCAACGTGTCTACTGTATAACAAAATCTTCAGTTGCAATTATTAAGTGAACAGAATTTAACAAATATAATTAAAAATTGTTGCTGCTCTTTGCTAAACGTCAGAGACAAACCGTCTTAAGTGGCAATTTCGGTTAACCTATGTTTTGGATGACCGCCGCTCTACTGTACTGTAAGATAGTTCTTTGAATTTACTAGTAACATAAGTGCGGTAGACCTTCAGATCTAATCCATTATATTACCAAGGGTTCTAAACTCTACACATTCTCTCCCCACCCCGAAGACAAACCGTAGATTGATGACTCAAAACCCATTTTGACCACATCTTGTATTCAACCCAAAAGAAGTTCACGTGTATGTGGCATATTTTAACGATATAGCCCAATCAAAAATAAACTCTACACAGATGGAAGTTGATCTTATTGGTGTGTATTCTTTAGTTTGTCCAACAGAAACTTTTTCATAAAATTTTGTGTGCTTTAGATTAGAAAAAAAACATGATAAAAATAAGTATAATGACTAACTAAGAACATAATCCCTGTTGTTTAAAACGTAATGTTTGTAAAGCTAGAATGACCTTAATACGTAACTCAATCCTATTTAATATTAGTTAACGTTTTTGTATAATCTAAAGGTAAGTACAGTATGCGGGTGGCATTACTGCTCTTGAATCCTATTCTTATCATTCTTACATCCTCAAACAAGTTTATAACAATCATTTCTGAGTCATTTAGAAAAGTTATTCTTTGCTGTAGTATACCAATCATACCAAACCATGATTGTAGTGCCATCTGTACATAGACTATACAGTATGTTACACGCACTCTTTGCTTCGTATGATGCTGGTGGTGGCGGTTTCCTTCCTTTTCCCTTACCTTCCTCTTTCCCTTACCTTTCACACATTATCTCATTATCATGTCTTTTCTTCATCCTCAAAATCACTGCATGTACATAAGCATTTATAAAAAACTCACAACTTAATGCTTCCACCTAAAAGCTTAACTGCTGCCGCTGAACATTTTCTCAAGTTCATCACCGTGACTCATATTTTAATGTGTCAATTTGAGGAATCTCAAAGGAAAGTAAGATACAGAGCTAAAGAAAAATTAAGGGTTACATCGTTAGAACTTTAATTTGATTTTGTGTTGTTTTGTAAAGTTCGTAAGTTGCAAATCAATGGTTGAAGTATTGTTTTAGATTCGGAAGCATGGTGTTTCGGTGTTGGGAGTTTTATTCTTTCTTCAGACTCTGTCTCGTTTGAATATTTTTAAGGAGCATTTTCACAGTTGTAAAGTTAGTTTTTGTGCAATTGTTAGCTCATATTTCATTATAATTTGTAAAAAGAAAGTGAACATGTTAAATTAAACCAATATACTGTTCAGTTTGGACAAAGACTTAACACTGTTGGTTCTTTACCTTCTTGTATTATTGTAAATGAAGTTAACAATCAGCATTGTCTAAATATACCACATTCCAACAATATACTCTGACAAATGATAATGCCTGCGTTGGGGCCTGATATCTCTTATCACTCATATCCTGTTTCATTCCATCACAAGATTCCTTTGTGTCTCATTCATTCTGTTTTTCACCTGATCATATTTTGTTTTTGCGCCTGATACACTCATGTGTTTCCATTTCTGTGTTTAACATCAGTTTTTTTTTTTTTTTTTATTCCAAGAGAATGGCTCAAATTCTTGATTATCAAATCATTTGATCAACTTGTGTTTCAACCTGATAATTTCATTTTTTTATTTTCTGATCACTAACAGATTTTGTGTTCACACCACATTAGTTTTCTCGCCTAACATTTCATCCCTGTTGTTTGTGTGCAGTCCCTTTCCGAGAGCTCCCTCGCTACAACCCCAGACGACGGAGCATGTTGCCCTCTATCTCCCACACCATTGTACCCCTACCCCCTCCCTCACCTTCACTCTCTGCCCGTTCTTTCCCCCCCTTCAGCTCAGCGTCGTCCAGCCTCAGCGAGACTTCCTCGGGCTCCGCCAAGACCACGACGACAGAAGACACTGCCAGTTATATTACAGGTATGTTCATCTGCCACGCCACCGCCGCATGCACTAAAGCACTAGGTTTTAGGTTAGGAATTTATTTTGCATGTTATTCTAAACTGTGGCTTAAATATGTGTGATTAATTAACCTATGGGTGTTTTTACTTAGTTAACGTGATATTTGGTAGGTGAGTGAGCAATTAGATGCAATTTTACTACAGTTGACTTAATCTATTTTGGATCTGTTCTGTTCAAACACAAATTATGTTGGCTACTATTTGTGTGAATCACATACTCACACACATTTGCCACCCTGTTTGTCTACAGCCATGAAAAAAAAACAAATCAAAAACTGCTCATGGTTGTGGGATTCATCTACAATCTAGAGTGACACAAAATAACCAGCTATTTTTTAATTCAGTTTAGTGGAATGTAATTAAAGGATATTCAGAATTTTGGAAAATTAACGAAGTTTATTTTGATATGGGTTTACTACCTACAGGTCTAATAGGAAATTAACTCTTTTTTGTTGAATCTCAGCCATTATCTTGTGGAAACCTTATTGAAATACAGTTACCCTATTGAACCTTCCGATAGTTCGACACTCGATAGTTCGGCACTCCTTGTAGTTTGACACGGGCTGTGCTATTTTGTCAAGTGATATTTAATGGTTACTATTGAACATTAATTTGTCATTTATTGTTGACTTGAGACTTAAGTAATGAACAGTGAAATTGTTAAACTTTTTAGTATTTAATAAATTTGGGTGATTTCTATATAAGACTTGTGTTTTTACTTTCCTGTATATTAAGCTCCATTTACTCCCTCGAACTATAGATTTTCTACTGTACTCAGATTGCAAAAGGATTTTTTTTCACATTCAAGGTAACACATTTTCCTAGTTTAGGACCTCTTCAGAGTGGAGCTTGTGAAATCAGTCAGTGGAAAAGCTACACTCTGAACAAGCAAAATATCAGTCCCATCTTGTGTGAAGGTTTTTTTTATGTATCTACCTATGAATCCTTGAACTCTAATTTTCTAAAAAAAAATAGTTGAACTCTTTCCTTTTTTCTTAAACATCAATGAATCACTTGGCTTTTCCATCAAATCTTAACTAATGAAATAGTTTCTACTGTAAAGATTAGGACTGCTGATAAAGCAGTGTCCCAATTCCCTGTTTGTTTTAAGTTGGTAAAATAATTAACCGGTTATGATTGTTCTACTGAAAAAAACTAATTTTTAAGGTAATTAATTATTGATTTAGTTCAAGTGTTACTCTATATTCTTCATCTTATATTAGCCACTAGCTATGCAGTTAGTTATATTACCAATGTTACTAATTTTGAGTGACACTGATTGGTTGTAGAGGTTAAACATCAAATGAATATTATTCTAATCATCCTATGGTAATTAAAATTAAAATCACAGTCAAGATCAGCATTGATCACGAACAGGTAATCACAAAACGGTTCTTGTATACATAGTGTTTCGTTGCTTTATTTATTTTTTTGTCCTAGGACGCTAGGGTCTGGCCCGGGATATTTTTTCAAATTACTTCAGGCATGTAGAGGTTGTGGCTGATTCGCGGGATTTGAACCCGGAACCTCAAGGACCGAAGCCCCTCACTCTACCACTAGGCCAACTCTCTCTCCACTCTTTTATACATAGTTTAGTTACCATTTGTACATCGCGAATCCTTAACTTTGACAGATGTATTCTTGTTTCAGACAAAAGTCTGTGTGACACCAGTGACATCATCAGCGACAGCTCAGGCGTGGGGACAGCCAATAGTGATTCACTTACGCTGCCGGGCACTAGCGTTGTCTGCGTAGAGAACTACAGTTCGAGCCAGCCTGGCCATCTACGGCTCTCCCAAGGAGACATACTTGATGGTACTTATTGATTATAACACCATGATTTCAAAGTTTACATTATTTATCTAAATGAAACAGCTGTTTGATGCAATTACCAGCTGTTTGTTTATTTTTCAATCTACATTATTTATGATTTGAAATGAATTTAGTTTGGAAAGGGTATTTACATTTATGGGGATGCAATTCAAAATCATATTGCAAAGCCTAATGCGGCAAAGATAAGTCACAGTTTGGTAAATATATAAAATTTTGCATAGCCATATCAAATGTGTTTTAATAAGATTGACTTTATTTTACAATAATGAAAAAAATTCTCTTACCACATTATTAAAATATTTTTTTAGTAAATTTAAAGAACTTAACTGTAGATTTCCATGTTTACATTTCAATATAATAATCCTAGAGAGTTTGAAATTTAATCAATTCAAGTACCAACAAAAATATCTTTATTTAGCTTTTTTTAAATAAATTAAAAAATTATGGTTTTGTAAAATAGCTGGAGTCATTCCCCTGTCATAGTAAAAAAATATCTGATCTATTTTTGTACCTCCAAGTTCAAACTATGCGTTTCTTTTTGGTTTAATTTAACTACGGTTTTTCAGTTACTTTTTAACACTAAGAATATGTCTCAGGTTTTTCAACTCTATCAAAGAAGTGGAGACTAGAATTAATGTGTGAGTTTGAGTTTATCTTGCATGTGAATTGCAATCAATAACAGATATATTTAATGATTGCACTGAATGATTCTGAAAGTTTTTTTCCCAGGCAATAAATGGGAATAAAATTAGGCTTTAAGTAGAAGTAGAGAAAGGCATGCAACTCGAAAGGACCTAATGATTGAGATATATGCTTGCACTCAATGCTTTAACATAAACATTTTCTGCAACAGAAAAAGTATATAGGTTCCACTCTCTCTGACTTCTTCCCAATTTTACTATCAATTCCATTTTACTAAGTCTTACTGCATTTTCCTTACATCCCCAAACCACCTTAGTCTTGCTTTTTTTCTCTTCTCTCTTTTTTAGCTTTCTTCCACTAAGTTAACCCCTCTTCTGATCCCTCCATTTCTAACTTCACCCCATCTTTTACTCTTATAACCATCAAAAATATCATTCTTAAACATCATCAATGAACGCTCCAACTATAAATTTATTCTGATTACCATTACCTTACTCTTTTCCTTGCTTATTCCTATTCTTTATTTTATTTTTTTGTGATCGTGGTTAGTGAATATATCGTGGATATATGGATATATATGGATATATTGTGGATATATTTGTGGATATATTGTGGTTATATTTGTGGATATATTGTGGATATATTTGTGGATATATTGTGGATAGTCGAGTCTACTGTAGTTCCTTATATATGATGCTGTGGTTAGTATCTCGTCTCGGAAATGTGGGAGGGACAGGGTCAACCCCTAGGACAAAAATATTTATGGTTTGGAGCACTTGCTTTACAAAATGGCATTAGTGTTGACAATTATTAAAAAATAAATGGCAAATTTTCACAAATTCCTCTTTTGTAAAATATTTGAAATGTTATATTTCATGCAATAATTAAGCATACTTCTTTATTTATTTTACTTTTTAATAGTTTTCTCTGTCACATAATTAGTATATGAATTTGACAGTTACCTCTGTCTGTTACAGTGACTGGGACTACGGACTGTGGACTGTTGGAAGGCACGCACCGCAACGGGGGGGAAACGGGGCTATTCCCTCCCCACTGTGTACAGGAGGTGCGACTACGGGGGGGTTTAGTACCCCCGCCTCAACTGCCTGTACATCGCCGTGTAGTCGGACGCAGGGAGTCCAACGCTACCTCACTCAAACACTTTGCCACTGCCCCGAGGCATAAAAAACAGTAAGTTTTTGTCCCGACGTAATTTAAGATATTTTGTATGTAACCTAAACCATTTTTTGGAGAATTCATCCTACTGATAGTTATTACAGGACCTGATCTCGAATAATGTAATTTTAATTTTACATATAAAATTTTTGATATATTTAAGAAAAAATAAGATTAAGATAAACCTTTGCGGCCAGTCTCCATAGAATACTGGTATGTGCAGACAGGCTGTAATATGATTTCAGCATAAGCAGGCAAGTCTTACTGATACGTTAGAGCATGCGGTTGGTCTCAAGCAAGCAATGTCTTTTTAACTACTGGCATTACTTTACATGAGTTAAATGTTTTAGTGCTAGTATAGCGCTTTACGCAATTTTGTTTGACACAGTACTTAGCACATAAATAGTTTAAGGATGTTATTCAAATTATGTTGTAGTATTCTAACTGTCTTGTGGTCTCTTATCAACATAACAGGTTACCAGCGGAACCACGCACTGTGGTGTTGCACCGTGCAAGGCGAGGGTTTGGGTTTGTCTTGCGCGGCGCCAAGGCAACATCACCCCTCATGGAGTTGACGCCGTCCGCGAGGTATCCGGCACTTCAGTACCTGGATGATGTGGACAAAGGAGGTGTCGCGGACATGGCTGGCCTACGGAAGAACGACTACTTGCTAGCGGTAGTTATTCACATCCATAGCCCTACACTCTAAATAAATATTGTAAAAAGTTTACGAGGACCAGGGTTTGACTTTTACCCTCAAATAAAGTTACTGTTGCAAACTAAATGTCGGATTAATCACTACACTTTTCAAAGATGTGGACATAAATGTGATGCATTTATTCCAAAAATGGGATTGCCATAAACTAAATTCACTGTCCAGTGCAGTGAGCAAGAAATACAATTGGTTTGGTAGCATTTAATGGCAAAATTGCGAGACCTTGGTCGCTATTAGTACTAAGGTATAAAGTACATTTACTGAGTACATTCGAACATTATAACATCCATAAAGGCATGAGCCGATGAGTCGATTTTCCTAGCTGGTACCAACACAACAAAATGTTTCAGCTTCTAGATTTTCTAGCAGAGTTGTCGTGCCAGCACTACCTCTAGTTGTATTTTACCTATAGCTGAGTAGCTGATGGGTTTTAGATGCTCACCTGGTATAGTCTGTATGATGGAACCAGTCTCCTGACGCTCCATCTACCTGGGGACTGGTCAATGGTTTAAGTCCCAGGCCAGTCCAAGGGTGGTCCCAGGTAGACAGAGAGGGTCAGGAGACAGGTTCCATCACACCGACTATAATCAGAAATTTCTATCCATTTCTATCCTGATAAAAGTAAGATTTTTGATGATTCCAAATCATAGGCTATTAAAAAAAAAAACTTAAAATAAGTTATCCTGGCTAAGGAAAAAGTTGAGTCAATAAAGCTAAACAATGCATCTAACTCCTTTCTACACCCATCTTTCGCTCAAATTTGGGTTAGAACTTAGAATAAACCTACTTACTATCTTAATTGGTAGTGAAAGTAATAAATACTATGACCAAGCAGCTACCCCATAAAATAACTTCCCCAAATCTTTGTCACAGATCAACGGTGAAGACGTGAGTGCCGCGTCTCACGAGCATGTAGTGGATTTGATCCGCAAGTCTGGAGACCTGGTGTCGCTCACTGTCGTGTCGTCCGGTGCACTGCCGAGCTCTAAGAGCGCCGCTGCCGGGCTGACTGCCGGCCAGGAGAACCAACCCACCCCACGCCAGTATCAAACACTGCCACGCAAACTCAACAATAACTTCCCTACGCTCGGTCAGTATATATGCTGTAAGCTATGTAACATCTCTTCTTGTGGTCAATTGTGATGTGTTGAAACCTAATCTCAATTCTCAAACCGATCAAAACTTTAGAAAAGTTTTGGTTTTGAGAATTTATCAGGGAGTTTCGAAATTCAAAAGATTTGAAATTAAAGATTTTTTAAGTTTTAATTTTGGACCTGTTGTCATTTTTTGTATTATTATTGTTTATACCAGTTTTCAGTCAAGCCGGTCGCAATGGACCAAACAGATCACCTCTAACACTGGATAAAACTTGTGATTTTTATTCTGAACTGCAATAGTTATTGTTTATACTAGTCTGTTCACAATATTTAGGCGGTTTAAGAGGAGGTTCCCCCACCACTTTTATCTGCTTACGTTACAGCTGATTGACGTTTTGAGCAATTTCAGCTGTTGAGCTATGTTTTATATGTAGAATCAAGACGTGGAGGGGATAGATTTCTTCCTCTAAATTTTGTGATTGGAGTATAATAATGGTACAGCGTACTTTACAGTTTCATATTGATATTTATTAAATAAAAAAATGACAAGCACTAAATGTTTTAATTGATCTAATATTCATATTTATGATATTGTCTGCAGTTTTTATTTAATTTATAAATTTATAAGTCTATAAGTTATGTGTATCAATTATCAATTATTTAAGATGGGGACGCCACTATGTGCGTATTTTAACCCAAATATGAGTGAAGGATGAGTGTAGGATTAGTGGCGCAATCTTGTAGTCTTGTTAGTGACTAAGGCCGACATGTTCCTTAGACACAGCTGTTAATTAATAGCCCATACAGCTAATGGCAACTAAGGGACCTACAGTTTATAGTGGAATCCGAACCACATTTTTTTCCTTGTAATTTACGAATTGGTCTAATTATCAGGATAGTACTACGGATAGTCGTAGTACTCACTAGTGCGGACGTTAATCCACACCAGGGAGCATAATATACAATTATAATTGAATTACCTGTATTTTTTTGTAGCCTTGACGAGATAGCTAAAAAGGTTTCACGTTACCCAAATTTTGTAATGCAGGATTTTAATTGGTTTTAGTTTCAAGAGATTCAAAGTTAATGGTCATCAATTGTGGTCATTGTAAGCTACAAACTTAGTACAAATTATTAAGTTCCAGTAATTTTTTTTTATTGTTAAAAGTCTTTTGAACTAGAGTCGGGACCACGTAAGTTTGCAGTTGGTGGCAGCCAATCACAAGACAAGGCTAGTGCAACGTTGCCACATTGCACTAATAAAATATACTAAGCAATATTTTCAAATCAGCTGGTATTATTAGATTTGGCAACACCGCACGGTTCTCATTGGTTCATTCAAACCCTTATGGTAAATAGGCTCCTCCCTCAACTGCAAACTTATGTGGTCCCGACTTTAAATATGTATTGTTGTTTCCAGGTCGAGCGCCAGCACCGTTACCTCCTAGGCGGGATCCGAAGACAACCCTTAGTGTTGGGAGAGCTCGAGCGAAATCAATGGTGGCTGGTAAGTTGTATCATCTAATAAATAGCTACCAATTTGTTAGCTTACTTATCAAATCAACCAATGTTTTTTTATATATCATATCAGAGTATAAAGGTTAAGGTGTTATAACAAATTCCCATATTATATGACCAAAGTTTTCATATCAAATTTATTATGTCCTTGATATTTTTACATTATTGTAATCCGCCTTACACTTGTTCTCACAATTCGACTACTTATAGAGGAGGAAGCGGCAAACTCGGGAGACAGTACAGATCCGGGCAAAGTCCAGCCAAGGACAGCTTCCATTAGAGCTCGACCCACCTCCAGTCGCATCACTGCTGCCGAACTGGAGTCTCTGTTCCAACGACAGACACCTTACATGATGACTACCTCTAACTTCCAGGTAGAGTGTCTTCATTGGGTTGGAAATTAAAATGTTCGAGGGAACCCATGCACCACTAATACTACACATAAATACTACACATTTTTAGCTTTCAAAGATTATGTTTGTTGCAGATAGCTATTAGGTGAACAAAACTACTAATTTATAACAAACAAATTAAATTTGTTGATTATGGATCTAGACCATAAAAAGAATCAGGTTACAATCATAATAAAAGTTTCCTGTTTAAAATGTATTTTTATTTGTCTTGATTACAATCTGTCTATGCTTAAAACATAATACTGAAGGAGTTGGTAAATTACAATTCACATTTAAAGCTGTTATATGGAAAGTTGGTCAGCATCACTGGATCTTTAAGTCTAGAAAGAAATTAAACACTAGGGTGACGATGACCTAAAGGAAATTAGCGTTTTGGTTACCATTCGTAACTCCACTAGATCATTACCTTTGCAACGACATGACACCTCAATTGTAAAAATAGGTCAAGTATGACAGGCGAAAAAGGGATGATACAGGGGAAACCAATGTTGAATTGAGTATATAGATGGTTGTTAGATGTATTTTGACAAATAATGCACGTGTGACTTAGGGGCTTCAAAAAGCCCATTTTACCAAACGTTGGCACAAAACGTAGGAGCTAAACCGCAGGCCTAACAGGATTAAAAATTTGTAACTATTTCTTATAAATTATGCTTAAAAAGATGTGTGTTATTTCATCCCGGAATTCCAAAAATTGTAATAAACTTGCCACTTTAAAATACTACTAAAAATACTAAAAATGATTCCTAATAAAAATGTGTCATTTTCTGAGGGTAACAACGATTTACGTAATTCAGTATTTTTTTAGTAAACATCTTATTTCCTTTGACTTGTGTATTTGTAATCTTTATTTATTAAAACACCTTTTGTGGCCAAATAGGCCGGCTCGGACTAATCCAATTAAATATTACAGGCAGGGGGAAACTCACAACCGTCTTCTCCTGCACGCACTCCTCGAGTGTACGCATCTGTGGCAGAGATGAAACGCAGCAAGGGCAAGGTAATTTGCCCACAAAGTTAAAAGTTATTTACACAAAGTTAAATTTGTAAGCTTGTTGTCAAGTTGATGACTTTCCTATCAAGGAAGCAGAAGTACTTATCTTTGCAGTAATCTTAAAAGAATTTAATTATTTGTTTTTAAAATACAAATCCACTCTTATAAGACAAAAGATTACAGAAAGTAAATAAAAATACGTCCAATAACACTTAAAACATATATTTACACTAATACTGTTAACTCACAAGACGGTAAATATATATAATTGATGGTAAGTGGTGACAGATTTCAATTGGACTCTCAATCATCATCAGACCAAATAGACGAATAATAATAATAATAATAAAAATCTTCATTTGTCATAAGGATACATTAGATCATCGACAAAGTTAAAATCATGATCATACATCAATCGCCAAACAAAACAAAATCAAAAACACTTTCAATATTTTGAAAAAACAATAGGGCATAATAACTAAAATATGTACACATGACTAAACAAACAACACTATAAGGACCTGATAAAGCAACAGGTTAGCAGCAGGGTTATGCAATCAAAGATTTATTTGGCCAGATTTGAACAAATCGTCCAAGCTATAAGAAGGGTTGTCTAATAGCCAATTATAAAACAAGGACTTAAATTTTTCTTGCGGATAAGCATCAATATTGTGTTTTAAAAGGTTATATACTTTAGTTGATAACACTATGTGGCTCTTGCTAGTCTAACTCAGACAATGTGATTCTAACAAGGCGCTATTTTTAAATCTGTTATTGTGATTATGATTATTGAATTTTAGGTGATGGGGTTTTTTTTAGATATAAAGGGCAAGATCATAAATAAACAAATTTATTACAGTTTGAATCTTAAAATCCTTAAAAAGAGGCTTGCAGTGCTCGTCTGGCTCTGATCCATTTATAGCTCTGATAGCCCCCTTCTGTAGGATTAACATTTCATTAAATACCAAGACAAGAATGTGGTTCGGATTCTACTATAAAACTGTAGGTTCCTTAGTTGCCATCAGCAGCTGTTTGGGCTATTAATTAACAGCTGTGTCTAAGGATTATGTCGGCCTTAGTCACTAAACAAGACTACAAAATCACGCCACTCATCCTTCACTCATATTTGGGTTAAAATATGCACATAGTGACGTCCCCATCTTATAAATAATTCAAAATTGATAATTGATAATTTAAATGTCTCCGAAGCCAGTCCGGATAACGGGTTTTCTGGTTAAACTGACGTCCCAAAAAACTTGTTAAAACTGATCATTTAAATGCATATACTTTATACAGTAGGGTATTTGACTTAAATTTTGGAGAGCGTTGTATTTAGACACATGATCTCTGGTCTCATATCTTTCCCACGAGAACAGTTATTTCAGTACTGCCCACTTCCTGCCGATCTAGTCCGGTTAAACCGATTTGCTGATAAAAATTGTCCGGTTAAAGAGATGTCATTTCCGCTGAGTGTCCGGTTAAACTGATGTCCGGTTAAAAGGTGTCCGGATAAGAGGTTGTATACTGTAACATGCATTTGATATAGGAAAGTTAGGTTTTTTGTTACTTACTAAAAACTAAAAGAGATACGAAGTAAGTGTAAATTACAAAATTATTAAGAATTAAAAACCTATAAAATGAGGTTCCACTTGACAAATGTTGCTATTTGAAAACTTTGAACAGTGGGCATTGGCAGATTTTCCAAACTCAATTTTTTTGAATTTTTATTATTTCAAAAGCCGTTGCATATCACAGTAAAGCTAACTTCATAATGAAACACAGAGTATAAAAACATATTGATTTAAAAAAAAAAAAAAAAAAAAAACTGCAGCCATTTTGAAACGGAAAAAGATCATTAATTTCAGTTTCGGCCAAAAAGTTTCTCTATCAAATACCTTCAAAATAATGTATAACTTGATATATGTTTACATTTGTAAATTACAAGATTCAAACTAGTGACCCTCAATTTTTGGGACATCCTGTATCAGAAAAATATTTTCACCTTATTCCTTGGGGCCTATTTAGCGGGAAATAATTTTATTTCATCCTTGTACTTTAAGCCGTTTTTTCGTAATCAATTTGAGACACCTTTGAGACCACATGGGACACTCTGTATAGGCCATAGTGAACACGGACATAGAAAAGATACAATATTTTGTTTCCTAAGGAACCTTTAATTTTTTCTGAGCTAAGCTAGCTATCCGTTTATTCTAAGAATCATAATCCGTCTATAAATCAACTTATGTTATAAGCACACAGTCTTACAATTTGTTGTCTACAGGCTAATACCCGAGTGCGCTTCAGTCTGGCTGGTATAGGGATGGCCGGAGTGTCAGAGCTACACAGGGACTTTCACAGCACCCCGGATCTTGCTGCGGCGGTCAATGGGGCTGTGACTGGGCCTCGGCAACACCACAGTCAGGAGGAGTTGCGACCTCTTCCCCCGCCTAGCCAGCCTCCGCCACCACCACCCGCCGCACCCGACACTGGAAATGACACTGGCAACGGTATGTTGATAGCCACCCTCCATTGAAAGGAATAGGTCTGAAGCTACTTTAGAATTTGTTTTGGAGTCTTTAACCAAAAACACCATCTTTTGTCATTTATATGTGTGTTTGAGTATTTTTTATGTCCGGAACTGTTTTTACACATTACTTCAGACTAGTCCTAGAGAGTCGCAGCATTTTCAGGTACATAAAATCCATTGGTGTTTGGAAAGATTCAAACCCAGGACCTCGGTCTTCTAACTCCCGCACTCTACCACTAGACCAGCTCACTACCCATTTTTTTTTTTAATTTATAACTTTCAATACACTATATAGTGTCTATGGTCTATAACACGATAAGTCGAGTAAAGACTTTCTTGAAATTTATAATCCTACATTTTATAAAAACAAGTTCCCAAACCTGCTCAATTGCACTACAATACGGAGTTTTCCCCGTTTAAATTGCGGTTTAAATAGGGTAAAAATTTGATGGAAATTAGCTTAGTTTGCAGGTTTGCTGCTGTGGGCCTATTTAAGCAAAGGCCACATAGGTGGAATTGGAAATTGATAAGTTCTGCTATTCTTTCCTCAGGTGGAGATGGCGTTATGTCAAGCTTTAAGCCAGCTGCTAGTGCCAAACTGTACGCTTCGCCTGAAGATGTCAAAAATGTTGGTTACCGATCTCGCTCTCTTCCCTCCCACGCAAATAGACCACAGGTAAAATATGTATTAGAGCTTAATTTATTTAGTGGAGGACATATTGTTTTAAAAATAAATGTGCAACCTGCTAAAGTTTCTGTTACTGAAGCTGGAAGCATAATATTTAGCTTTCTTCTCTTTAGTACTCTTATTTTAATTTATAAGATATTGGGTTTTTAAAGAACTTTTTGATAAACTTAATTGTGTCCAATTTAGGGTAGTAGTAGGAATGTAAATTTTCAGGGTGTCTAGTAGTCGGGAAAATCGGGAAAGTCGGGAATTAGTATTGAATTTCAAAATGGTCTTGAAAAGTCGGGATTTAGTCTTAAATTTGATTTCAAAGTCGGGAATTTTCATGATTTTGCCGCGATCGTCGTCTTGCGTTTACGTAACCGCGAAAGCCAATGATGATGATATCTGCTCGGCCGCGGGAAATGTTCATGATTTTGTCGCGATCGCGGACGACGACGATGACGTTTCCGTGACCGCGGGAGATGACGATGACGTTTCCGTGACCGCGGGAGACGACGGAGTCATACCTAGGTCCACCGCGGTCAATCTCCCCCGCGCTAGTTTCCGCAAGGTCTGCGGCCGGCGGAGCATGAGACCAACAATCCCTCCCACTTGCCTCTGAGTCGCACAGTTTGGTTTGGCCGACCTAACCAAACGGTGCGGCGGACAACTGGAGACTACTTCACTCGTAACTACGCCTGCAAAATGTAGGATACTTTACCAAAACACTGCTGTATTGCGGGCTGACTAATGAGGCCGTTTTCTGTAAAGTAGTAATTGTACAATTTACCGTACACTTGCTTGGCTACGAAAAATAATTATTCAATTATCATATCTATTCCACGATTATTAATGGTTTTGAAATCCATACACCACTTTACTCACTAATATTTATGGTACAGATTAAGCACATAACATTAGAATGATAATTCACTTTAAACACAAATGCAAATTGTTAACGACAACATTTAATTAAAGACAAATCAATCAAATAACAATAAGCCGTTTAATTATTAACACAAAAGGTTTCGTATGATTAGATTATGCATACTGATAAACCAACTATGGCCATCAATAGTAATATTTGGGTTTTCTTTTCCGAGTCGAGTTAGCTTTATTAACGTATATTTAGAGTTATGCACAAAATGTGTCCCTGTACATTTCTTATGGGAGTTAAATTAGTTATTTTTCAAGTTCGTTTGGCTCTTCTGCCCATCCCATTTTCTTAATTTTGGTCTTAAAAAAAGTTATGCAAGCAAATATTTGTGATCAAACATAATCATAAATTTTTCTAATGTATTACCCAACGAAATTTTTTTTTTTTTTACTTCAATTTAAAGATGTATTTCAGCAGCTCTAACTAAATTACCCTATATGTTTTGGTCTAAAAACCTTTAGTGAAATACCAGCTTTCATTTGAGCTATTAATTATTAAGATTCCGATCTTAATAATCGTACCTAAAGCACTGTTTTAATCAGTTAACTTCAAGATACTGTATCGCTCAATCAGAAAACATAAATTTGATTATATCTTGGATGTGGAATTTAGTTTGTGATATTTTTACTCAATTCAAATTACGTTATTCTATTTGTTTTGACCTAAGAACCTTCAGTGAAATACCATCTTCCATTTGATTTATTGATTACAGTATTAAGATCGGACGTACCTAAAGGACACAGCTAAATCACGAACAACCCAAATTGTTCAAAAAATAGAGTTATTTATAATCAATTTATAGTCAAACGATCTTGCTTGCAACCTCAACAGTAACTGTCGACTTTGACGGGTTTCATCTAGTCAATCTTTAAAAAATCAAACTTTCATAATTATTTGCAAATATACACAAATTAGGGTTACCAATGACCTATTAATTAATAAAATCGGTTCAGTAGAACTGTAGATTTAAGTGTACAAAGTTTAACAACAACATCTTTCATTCAGTATTTTCTCACCCCTTTGGGAGGTTGCTTAACGTTTTTGAAAATAGAGTAACTTTAAAATGGTGAGGAAGTCGACCAAAGTGGACGGTGATATTCTTGATAGAGAATAAAATTTCCTACAAATTACTATCATGTATTTCCTGAAAATACTCAATAAAGACAGTCTAAAGTTGGCTACAAATATAAACTTGGAAAAAAGGCGTTTTTAATGTATTATTGTTTATTTTCATTTTTTCTCCTCAAAAAGTAATAAAATCACACTTTCATAACTATTCGCAAATCTATACGAATTAGGCTTTCCAACGATTAAGTACTAACAAAATCGGTCCTGCAGGAATTTTAAATTTTATGATTTTTAAATAGATTTGTTTTTCTAACAAAATATATGGATGAAGTATAATTTAAAACATGCTATGTAAATTAATGGTATGTTTCGGGAATAAATAGTTTTATTTTAAAACGAGCTGTTGGCCCGTCCTACGTACGGGAATCGAGCAGTCCATTAAAATTGTATATAGTTTTATCAATATGTCTATTCCTAATTCAAGCTTAGTTTAAGCAGTTCAAAGTTTATTGTAAAGAAAAAGCTACCAAGATTAATTAAAACTTCTGGTCGTTGATACTTTCCCAACCTGTCCTCAAAAATTCGGGTGGTAAAACAATTTTCATAAGCTTTCTTTTGTAGTCTCGTGAGCTTCGATTCGTATAAAGCAATGGTTATAGAATCTTACTTAATTTCTATAATCAATGACAAAATCACAGAGTAAATAAACTAACCTCATAGTTCTTAGAATATTTGTATATTCAACCAGCTGTTAGTTATAACAAATTATATTGCACTAAAACAAACTAAAGATTTTATAGACTGTTGAAAAAATAAATTAGAACATCTATTATTTTAATTTTACTTTGTATATTTAAATTATCTCTCGTCCTCTAACCGAATAAATAAACGTATCAATTATTAAAGCATTACACATAGTATAGAAAGTCAACCCTACGTATGTCATTTCATTTTCATCCAAATGCTGAATTTGTGTCGAAAACGCTGATTGTTTACAGCTGTTACGTTAAGCAAATTGTATTATACCAAAACCTAGAGTAGAATGTTAGCGTCGGCTGCTGGACTTTTTAAAATTTTAAACTTAATAAAAAAAACTGAAACCCTAAACTAAAATTGTGGCTTCGACATTCCCTAGTTCCCAAAATTGGCTTCTTTCAAATCTTTCTTTCAACGCAAAAATGATGAAAATCCGTCAAGTGGTTGATTCAGAATCGTGAAATAAAAAAACCTGTTACGTTTTAATATATAAGACTAGCTGTAACCCGCGGGCTTTGCCCCGTCTAACTTCTTCATTTTCAAGATGATCTCGTTCGCATGGCTCAATCACGTCCTGGTTGAAGTTCGTTCGCTACGCTCACTCACCTTTAGGTTGGAGCTCGTTCGCTGCGCTCACTTGCCTTCAGGTTAGCTCGTTCGCTACGCTCACTCGCCTCCAGGTTGAAGTTCGTTCGCTACGCTCACTCACCTTTAGGTTACAAATTAGCTGTTGTCATAAATGTCAAAGAAATAATGGTGCTGCACCCTGTTGGTAATCCTTGTAACTTTAATGCTATTGAACATCATAGAACAGAACCAACTTGTTTAATTGAAACAGCTGTTAAGATTCATTAATACCATTTCAATATAAGTACTCATAAGATTAACATGGGAAACTCCAGAGCCACTGGGGCGGAGCCCGAGAGTCCGATCAGAATATAAACAACTTAGTTTTCCTATTTAATGCCTAAAGAATCAGTGTACCAAATTTCAGCCTCCTAGGTAAATGGGAAGTGGGAGAATTAGTGATGAGTGAGTGAGTGAGTGAGTGAGTCAGTGAGGGCTTTGCCTTTTATATATATAGATAACGTACACATTTTTGTAATATTCCTGGAATTAGTTTGGGTTTTTATTACTCGATACTTAAATTATATAAATAGCCAAAGGCAAGTCAAAGTCTGCCGGCTTCAGCTAGTTTTTTGATAATCCTATCTCCTCTCTGGCATTATTTAATTCGAAAATGATTACATTGCATTATAAAGTGATTTCATACGTTGTAGGCCCACTTATTATGTCTTACAGTATACCCCTTCAATCACCGTTAAAAGATTAAATACACCTATAAAGAGTTATTTGTTATTTAATTAGAAGAAGATTTACCTAAAAATGGGGCCCATTGGCTTCCTTATGGGACAAGAATAAGTGACCCAATGTCCCCAGTGTCAATAAGCAAACTTTTTTTAATTAAAAGAAAACTGCTTTTCGTGGTGGGCCCTCCATAATAGTAGGCTACTTTTAGGACGCATTCATCCCTTAGCCACCTTCCTAAGATAAATAAATTATTACATATGAGATTATGAATTTCAAAATGGAAAAGAGTGTTTCTTCAGCGTGTAGATTCTTAATATAATAATAATACGACATATTATAATAACGAATAAAATGACAGATTAAAGTGTTTTCCGTACGTAAATGTGAGTGAGTGTATGTATAATTGAAATAACATAAATTATGGAAGCAGCCAGATTGGGTAAAATAAAATATGTAAAAAAAACAATTCATTTAATTTAAATAACAACCCATAATTATTCGGTCCACAATGGAATGACATGCCGGGCACGTTATCGGTACTCTTACTTGAGTACCATCTCCATTAATAGAGAATAACTGTTGAGAGACAAATGCCCTCAAACACCAAACACCTACTACTAAACACGGGGTGCAAAGCCTCTTGGGCTGTATAACACCGCAGAAGCGGAGCGGCGCGGCGGTTCGATGACCGGAGGGTCCAGTTTTGCGAGCAAGAGAACAAAGAGTTTGCGTTCCTTGAAACCCAAACAAAGACTGTTGTGTTGGGGTGTGAGCTTTCTCTCGGCGGCAGGTAGCTACAGCCGCGACAAGGGTTGCTGCAGTTGTAGCTAAATAATATCATCGACGCATTGACGGTGGTGGATGGATATTGTTAAAATAAAAATGAATTATAATAATTATCATAGTTCAATGTCCTAATTAAGAGCTTAATTTTTACGCAAAAACCTTATATCAGACAAATGTGCTTTATGTACAGATTTCACGTTTAAGTCCCTACCACGTGCAACACTTGGTTTTTTAGAAAATTTCCCTATAAAAAATCTATAGTTTCTTAGCAAACGTATTGACTGTTTACAATTAACATATGTTCTTCTTCTCACTTTTAGTTTCTGCCAACAGTGGTTGAAATTTCATAACGGTGTTTGTTTCCCATGTTAATCTTATGGAGAAATACGAAACTTTAAAGGACCTCTGGGCCTCACTCTCTAATTATTTCCCTAAGCAGAAAGTTTTCTGCACAACTTCACGTTACGCTCTTTCCAATGATACCAAAAACATGCCAATCGGTTCAGTAGTTTCGGAGGAGTAATTGTCACAAAAAACCTGCTTGCGTATTAAATAAGTAATAGATATACTGTTATAGTGTCCCTGTTGATGTTTTCTTTTTGGTATATCAATTCATCCAGGCTCTCTCTCTTTTTTCTATTGTAATATTTGCGCCAACCCCAATTCAAATCTTTATAATTAATACGCTACATGAAACTTTGTCGGTTGAACTCCTCCGCCATTTCTTAACCGATTTTATCCATTGACGTCTCATTGGAAAGAGCGTGTCGAGTAGATTTGCAAACTGGCCTTTCATTTATAAAAAAGTCCCTTAAGCTTTGCCCCAGTGGTTTTAAAGGTTCCCATGTTTTCCTTATGAAGAACACAATAATTGTTTATATTTTGATCAGCTGTGTAATTTAATTGCTGTTATTTATCTTTCAATTCAACGAAACGCATTGGGTTCATTTACTGATTTTGGTTGAATAGAAATGAAATAAATGTACTACTTTAATTTACAATTTAAATAATCGAGAAAGCCTTGGCAATTTGATATATTTTACCTCCTATATAATGAAGAACACCTACAGTATGAATATTCCCACAAAAAATGAACAAGGATGTTAGTCGAAGTGTTACTATTTTGTAGGAAACACGGACTTAACTTTATGATTATTGGCAAAGGAAAACACTCTAAGGCTGAATTAAACCATAGATAAAACATAAAACATACTATTAAACTGTTACGGCAAGGACATTAAATATATGTTTTATTAACAGTCAAGCGATTTTAAAATAATATGGCTACATCCAAAAAACTTCAATAAAACTTTCATTGAAGGATTTGCATTATTCACATTTAAGGGAAACAAAAAACCATCTGAACAATATTAGGCCTTTCAATCCTGCATTTTTTCAGGTAAATTTATCCATTGAGTATACACGTATATAATTGAATATGCGTGTACTCAATTATATAACAGACGTTATAACAGTAACTAGCCAAATTATTGCCAATTGAAGCAAATACAATTGTGATAGAGAGGTTATGCAGAAAATCAGGCAGTTCTTAAGTAATGTAAACAAAATGTTATCGTTGTAAAAAAATTACAGAAATTTGTAAACGTACTGGCAACAATGGGTAGTACCATGCAGACTACATTATCATTGACGAAGATCAACATGGACAACCTAATGCGGCTATAAGTGGGAAATATTTGTAGAAACACTAAAAAACTAGATCAGCTTTTGAAAAATGATAAAATATTTACAAGAAATGTTGATTATATGGAACTATTAGGTACGTGATCTATGAGTTGAGTCTTTTAAACTCATCGGAAATTATGACTTTTATTAGGTTTTAAATAAGTTATTTGTTTTTAAACAACTACCGTACTTTACTTCTTCGCAATTGCTCGATTTCGAGCAACATGTACACTTGTAGTAAATGTTTCATTTCAACCAAGTGTTTGTAGCAAACTGTTAAACTGTCAAACTTCCATTACTATCCAAACTATCAATTATTTCGTAAATTACCCTTTAAGGTCGTAATTCATTTCTAAAGCGAACTTTCCATATACCTAATGTTAAAAATACCTTAGCTGTACTTATTTGTTTGTTATTCTTTAAATTTATTTCCTTATTAAAATAAGTGTGATTTTTTTGTATTAGGTACTGTATTCTGTGTTAAAACATGTAGCACATGAAATGGTTGATATCACCCCATTTTTCAGGATTCTATACGGAGAAAATTCGTTTGAGTAGGTTGGTGTATGTCTCAAATCAAAGAAATAAAATGACTCGACTTAAATTACTTAACACAGGTTATCAGTAAAGCATATAAGGTTTTCTTAAGTTCTCGATTCTGGAAACACTTTGTTGCAGCATGTTACCTCGAATTGAAGCAGATCGTTTAGCATTCATTAGAAGTCATCAGTTAAAACTGAGAGCAGAAATACCGGTAATGTAAGTGAGCCTTGACGACGCAAATAGAGATATTTAAAATTAGTTCCTAATAAGTTTTCAAACAACTCTAAGATGTAACTAAAACTATTCGAATTTAAGCTTAATGTTTTCTTGGCGTTATGTTTCATACTATGCGGCTCATTGAGCCTCGCGGGTTCTCTAGTACTATACAATAATTGAAAATATGATGTCATTTTGAACAATTTTACAAAACTACAACATAGCAGCGCATAAACAAAATATTATTAAAAGCAACAAAGATTAACAATCCATTGATTAAATGAATGGAAAAGGCGTTCCTGTCATCCCACAATACGGCGGAGTTTGCAAAAGGTATACTAGTTTTTGCAGGCGTTGTTTAGTATGGTACTCAGCCATACATATACAATAAGTGCCGGCTATGTATGATGAAATGAAATGTTCATGATTTTTCCGCGATCGCAGACGACGACGATGACGTTTCCGTGACCGTGGGAGATGACGATGACGTTTCCGTGACCGCGGGAGATGACGATGACGTTTCCGTGACCGCGGGAGACGACGATGACGTTTCCGTGACCGCGGGAGATGACGATGATGTTTCCGTGACCGCGGGAGATGACGATGATGTTTCCGTGACCGCGGGAGATGACGATGACGTTTCCGTGACCGCGGGAGACGACGATGACGTTTCTGTGACCACGGGAGACGACGATGACGTTTCCGTGACCGCGGGTGACGACGATGACGTTTCCGTGACCGCAGGAGACAACGATGATGTCTACACGGCCGCGGGAAATGTTCATGATTTTGCCGTGATCGCGGACGACGACGATAACGTTTCCGTGACCGTGGGAGATGGTGGTAAGATGTCTAAACAGCCGCGGGAAATGTTCATGATTTTGCCGCGATCGCAGACGACGACGATGACGTTTCCGTGACCGTGGGAGATGACGATGACGTTTCCGTGACCGCGGGAGATGACGATGATGTTTCCGTGACCACGGGAGACGACGATGACGTTTCCGTGACCGCGGGTGACGACGATGACGTTTCTGTGACCGCATGGGACAACGATGATATCTGCTCGGCCGCAGGAAATGTTCATGATTTTGTCGCGATCGCGGACGACGACGATGACGTTTCCGTGACCGCGGGAGATGACGATGACGTTTCCGTGACCGCGGGAGACGACGATGATGTCAACACGGCCGCGGGAAATGTTAATGATTTTGCCGTGATTGCGGACGTCGACGATAACTTTTCAGTGACCGCGGGAGATGACGGTGATGTCTAAACAGCCACGGGAATTGTTCATGATTTTGCCGCGATCGCGGACGATGACGATGACGTTTCTGAGACCGCGGGAGACGACGATGATGTCATTTATGTCTACAAGGCCGCGGGAAATGTTCATGATTTTGTCGCGATTGTGGACGACGACGATCACGTTTCTGTAATTGCTGCAGTCAATGATGATGTCTAAACGTACGGTACGCGGAAGATTTCATGATAAAAAAAAAACAAATTTGCTAGTTGCTATTTAGTTTTATATTGGTGCATTATTTCTTTACTTGAAAACACAACATTATCATAATACTACTTTATGACAAAGACAGGGGTTGGTGTAGTATTATTTAGAAAATTTGGTTAAGCTATAAAAATTGGTATCGGTATCAAGAATCGAGAATCGATACATTTTGGTATCAACACCCACTAATTGTTGAAAAAACTAGTCTTGAAAAATCTGGAATTAGTCTTGAAAAGTCTGGAATTAGTCTTGAATTTTGTAATGGAAATAAACTAGACACCCTGATTTTGGACATGTTATTTTTGTATAATGTTGATTTTAAATTATTTTAGATATTTTTTTTAACCTTGTACATTATGCTCCTACCGCTTTTGAAGTTTTGTATGAAGTCAGATTTTTTCTTTTAGTATGCATATTATTTAAGTGAAAACAATTTTTCCATTTAAATTTAAAAGGTCAGTAGATTGATTGCAGTGTACCACTAACACACTCACTTGTACCACAGGTTCGTAAATCACACAGTTTACGATCACCGTCGTCTTCATTCAAACCAGCGCCAGGATCTCAGGGCGCAAATCCCTACGCTCAGCCGATCCGGAACCGCAAACAGCAACCGGTGTCGGCCCCGCCTATTCCAGACCCCGACTACAGCCTCAGTGAGAACGAAAGCGACACGGAGCCCGCGGACAAGACTGTGATCAGAGTGAACCAGACAGAGGGAAGTGGCGGTAGCAGCACCAGTTCCGGCAGTCTACCTCACAGCTTCAGCGTAGACGAGATTCAGAAAGTCCGAACACAGCTGAAAAGCTCCAAATCCTACCCGAACGACTTTATCCCCGGAGCTGAAGACGGGGATAATTCTTCCAGTGGAGTCAGCTCCGATCAGGAAATACCTGCGGGACCTCCCTCCGGGTTTGATGTGAATCAGGAATCCTCGACTGGAACGTCAACTCTTCCTCGAACTTCGCAGAGATCTGCTCTAACAAGGAACGCAGTGTCGCTGGCACAACTACCCCCACCACTCGAGGCGGACACTGATGAGAGGGAGGAGTTAGTTGTTCCGCCACCCCCGGAATATGCAGGCGGGGTTGGCCCCGTTATGGAGGAAGTGTTGGCGCCCCCACCACAGTTCTCCGATGGTCGCTTAGTCACGAGAGTTCGAATAGTCGGGTCAACACCAAAGGCAGCTCCCAGTAGGCTTCATAGTCAGTAAGGATCAACGCATTACATGTAATTCTTTACATTAATTCTGTGGCATGTTTTATGCCGAAAAAACTGTTATAAAACTTTTTTCAAAATAATTTTTAGTGATACAAATAATTCTTTTGGTTTTTCTATAAAGAAGTCATTGATTAGTTTGTAAATTACTTACTACCGTGAATTATTTTAAAATATAATTACTTAAATTCTGGATCAATTTTGGGATGTGTAAAATCATTTATGTAAGTGTAAGAGTACTATTTTGAGGTTCTATTTTTTTTCCTTTTGGAAGGTGCAAACAGATTTTTTTATTCTACCTTACTGTTCAAAGCAAGTCTAATGCGCTGGCTTACTACCGTAGTTAATTTTGCATAGTTGCATACTATTGTATTTATTGTTGATTTATATTCGTTAAAAGATTATAGTTTTTTGTTCAAATTGTATATAAGCATAGACTTGAGTGTATGTAAACAGCATGCCGTCAGTTGTACATTATAAATGTGCCAAGTTAATTTATCTTGCCTAATGTATGTTCCTTTTATATACGAGAGTTAGATTGTTTCATACTTAGTTATTTATACATTCCGAATATTGAGTTTATCGTGTAAATAGTGTCTATATAGTGGATTAGTAATGATTATCAATGTAAAGCTAAGTTTGCGTCCAACTTTAAACTAAGTTAGAGAGTAATTATGAGAAATTTGAAGGGAACTATGTACACAGATTATTTATTCCTTTGTGAAATAAAATTTTGATGTAGATAATTTAGATATGTATTTCATAAATTATGACAATTTAGCTACAACAATTATGTGTGACACTCTGTTAAATTTGACTAAAAGTGAGTTCCATTTTTTATATTTAAATAAGTATGGAAGGCCTTAAACCAAGAAATCTAAAAATTAATACTAGACAAGCTGATGATACAGCCACAAATTTTGTACTGAAACTCAAGTCTAGAAAGTATAAGTTACTGTCATAGATCCCTTTAATGAAATTTTTTTAAATAAAGTAATCCCAATAAATGTAAAAAAAACTTGCTCATAGAAAGTACCTCTAGTAAAGTGTCAGTTGGTCTACGACCGTATCCTGCCAAGCCACGTGTACATATGTAATCGGTGTTTTTTTACTATCCACATTTCAGCATTGTTGCTAACTAGTTCACTTCTCCAATTCAGCGCTTGTCTATTCCAAATTATTATATTTTCTAGATGAAATTTTATTTCGGATCGAGCTCCGTACTTGTTTGCTATATGTCAATTGAGAGAATATTATTGCTTATTTTGTACCACAATATTTCTATACTGTTTGAAATATTTTTATCGTTGAAATTAATAGTACTGTCTTAATTCATTAGGTGTTTAACCCATATTTACATTGTTAAAGAGATTTTTCAGGTTTGTAAATAACACACGTTGTACATGTAAGTCACATTCCATGATGTTATCAATGAGGGAGGATTTTTCATCTTTATTTTCTTTTTAGTATTTTAGCGTTAGGTTGTATTGTGGAACACATCTTGAAACTATATCTTTATTGATATAAATAACTGAATATTTTAAACATTCAACCTTCATCAAAATTCTAAAAGGTAATCATAATGTAAATCTACAACAGGTTTAAAAATTATTTTCAAATTCTTTTACTTCTTTATCTATACAATATATTTTTCCACTAATGTTGCAAGTCTAACACCAATTTCTTGGAATGTGGCTCGATTAGTTTTGTATCAATACACGAAAATGTTATCAAAGTTCCCCCCATAAGACAATGATATATTCTAAATTTGAAGTTTTTGTGAAGGAGAGATGTACATTGTACACCCGTAGTTGGCTATTGGCTTGTAGAGGCTTATTTTGGATTACTTTTCCATCACTAGATAGTCACATTTGGAAACTTTTAATCGGATACGAGTGAACTGTTGTAATATTTAACAAATATAACAAACATGTGTAAAACTTGTTTTATCATTTTTCCTTGTTATTTACGGTTCCCTAAACTTTTGAGTTTTCTATTTGTTTAAGTGTCCTCTGACTCTGGAACATTTGTTTTTCAATAGGTACGGTAAGTGATGCGTGTGTGTGTGTGAGAGTTTACTGATCTGTTTTGTACAAAGTTGTCACCAGTGGTGCCATTAAGTCCTAAACTAAAACTATTTTATTATTATCATTAATTTATTGAGAGGAGGAAGTTGCCATCCCTATGAAAAGCGACTCTCCAGCATTACACTCGATTACAGTTAATCCAACTCCATGTAGATAATTTTTGATGAATTTCATTTAGTAGTATGGTTTCTTTTTGAACATGTTTTACATATCTTTGAGTCACTTGTCTTTATTCTTCACTTTTATTATCGTTATCATCAATTCAGATGGGGACACCAAGAAGGTGAGTATTTTAACCCAAATATAAGTGAAGGATGAGTGTAGAATGTTGTAAGGTTATCTGTGTAGCTTTGTTACTCACAAAGACCGGCTGTTTTCACTAGCCAGAATCATATAAAGCCATTGCCCATTGGGTGAGGAACAGCTGGGTCCAGTTTCGAACCATTCAAAAGCTACTCACTTTTCTCAGTGGCAAAGTTTTGATTGTTAGGCGGGCACTTCCTCAATTTTTCACTTTCTTTCAATTCAATTCAATTTATTTATTCACGACATAAACCAGTTTACAAAATGATAACATACTAATTCAGAACATGCATTTTACAATCAACAAGATGGCAAGCTACAGGCAGGTTTAATATAAAACAAAACTAACTACTTAATTATCAACAATTAATTACAAGATTTAAAACACTGAAAAAAAATATATGATCGACAATTTTTAAAGAAGAAGTTGAGGGCAACAAAAAAGAGATAAGAACAAAACAATCCAAAAGACCGGCAAAGAGCTTTTAAGTATGTTTCACCCAAACTCACTCATAAAATACCCCTGCTGCTGCAAACTACCACATTTTACAATATTCTCCATAAAAATAGCATAGTAATTTTAAATTTACGATTTTTTCTGTGATCAATAACCGTACAAAAACACTTTAATATACTAAATTAATTGTATTTTTAAGCTCTAAATATGGTACTAAGAGAAATTGGAAATTTTTTTCTTTTGAGGATCAAACATGAGAAAAACCAATTTTTACCCCATAAAACCCCGATCCCATAGTCTGATTATGCTGGTTCACATAACTCATTCAAGTTTATTCCGCCCTACACCTTCAAGCCAAATTTCATCAAAAACGGACAAAAATTACTCAAGTTATCGCTTTCACATACATATACAGGGTGTCCCGTAAGTAAACAGCCAAACTCCGGGAAATGGTTCTATGGATCAAAATAAAGAGAAAATCAAGAATAACCTGTTTTCCAAAATCGGTTCGTTAACCAGATATCCGCCGTTTTGTATATTTTATAAAAACATTTTTATTTTTTAAATTTTTCAACCGATCTTTAATCTTTATAAAACTTGGTATGTAGGTTAAGGCAGAAAAAAAATCATCTTGATTCAACTTAAAATTTAAAAATGGCGGCCATTTTAATTTTTAAAACTTAAATTACTCAAAAACAGCTAATTTTATGAAAAAAAGTCAAGTAGGTACACTTTTTATTTAGCATTTTTAATTCCCTATCAAACGATACCATGTTTAAAAATATCGAATAAGAAATAGCTTAAATATTACGATTTTTAGTTGTAAAATGGGGCAAACCTGACTAGCTTCTGCCTTATTCTACCCTATTTTACAACTAATCTCAATATTTAAGCTATTTCTTGTTCGATATTTTTTATCTATGCCGTTTTGATAAATCTACATTCCATACAGTACTATAATTGTTGATCTGTTATTCAGGTATTTTATGAAATGATAACCAAAGTGTTATTTATAACTCTTAATCCTTTAAGGTGGTTTGAGGAGCCTTCCTTGTCACGTGTGAAAAGACAATGCTACGGTTTGACAAAACGCTCTCGTCGATGCAGCCTTGGTAGGTGGTATCTGACAACAAATTAGTGAACTATTTAAAACTAGGACTGAATTACAGCACATTGGTAGTTGTTTGATCTTTTACAGCTGATTGACATAGAGTAAGGAGCAGAGGATACACTCCATGGTAGGCCTATACTTAAGTGGTGTCTAGCACTAGTGCCAGTGCTGTTATCTAGTGCAAATTCCAACACCACCCTCTGTCGCCCACATGTACTACAACGCTCACGGTGAAGGAAGATTTGTGCCCTATAAGAATTTCCTGCACAGTGCTCACCGCTCTGGCTCTTTCTTGCTCGTCACAAGTAAATTCCCGACACAAAATACCAGAATTTAAAGCACATGGTTGTCCCATAAGCAAGCTGCCCCTATGCCTTATATACTTACTTATCTGTCATGCGCAGGGCCGCGTTAAGGGTCAATGGAGCCCTGGGCAAACTCAAAAGCAGCGCCCCCCTTTTTTTAGTGCAGGCGGTAGATGGATGTGAAATGAAATGAAAAATGTCTTTATTTAGGAGGCGAAATTAGGACTTACAAGTAGGGAGTTACATGGTCATATCGCCTAAGGCCAAACATGGATCTGATACAGGAATTCTGCGCTCGCTGAAGTCTACTAGAAACCTCATTTGTCATGTCATTGATCACCACATCACAGTAGTTGAAATGAGTCAAGATGAGAGTTTTTACTAACATGATTTTCAAGTTCAGTGGAAGGCAAGGGCGGTCCCAGGGGGGGGGGGTCAGGAAGGGCCATGACCCCCCAAAATATTTTTCATATAGATTTACAATTATACCAGGGGAACCTTAATAATTTGTATTGCAAATCGTTCTACCAAATTCATTGTAGTCTTTACACTTGTGAAGAACGAAAGGGCTAATTACAAACTCTAACCTAAAACTTGAGATTGTTTGAGTCCTACTATTATTTTTTATACGTTATGAAAAGTAGGGAAGATCGGCAGACAACGCACGCTTTCATACATACGGCAACGGCAGTGTCCGAGGCTGGCGTTCGACACTCGGCCGCATTCTTCTTCTTATTTATTTTTTTGCATTTAAATGTTATCATTCACTTTAACCTAGATGATTGAAAACTTGATTTAGGTATTGGATAAAGAAAATAAGTTGTATAAATAGTCAAAGCTTGAAGGATAGTAGAATATTCATTTATCTGAGTTCAGCTTTAGGAATTTATTTATTTATTACAAACAAAGATGGCAAGACCCTATAAAAAACTAAACAATCTCAAATAACAAAACTCTAAGCTCGTATTTCTGGAATTTGTAATTACAGTAAATGTAATTCAATGATTACCGTAGCAAAATTTAAAACTTTCAATATTAAATAGTATTTATATTTAGAGCACCTGATATCATATTTAAGAATACCAAATACTACAACCCAATTGGTATTTTGATAGCCACGAAACAACAACAAAATGGTACCGTAGTGTCACAGACTTAAGATGCGGAAGGGACAGATTTAATTACCGGCACAACCACAAAAACGTTATTCTCACGTTGACCCCTTGTAAAATGCCACAGGCATAGAAAAAATTGAGAACACCGAGAACCAATTCTTCGGTAGCAGTGACGTCAATAGACAATAGACAATAGACAATAGACAATGATCTTTATTTACATATTCGTTGAGAACAGTACATGCGTCAGAATAATAATTAAAATTTGTTGATTTAATATGTTGTTAAAGCTGGTTGTCAAGGAATTCTTTTTCGGAGTAGAATGGCCTTTCTTGCAGCCATGTTGTTAATTGGTTCTTGAAACGGTGAGTT